TACTAGCTGGTACAGGTGCCGTCAGGGCCCGAGAAATGAGGCCCGAGACAAAGAGGCAACGGGACAGGTGAGTTCCGGTAGCGGTCGGTGATTGTTCATCAACGAGATATATGACTGTTTAAAACGTGGAAATAAGTGTGTGACACTTCATTTCCGCGCGCTTTTAAAAATACAACAACGGCGTAATACTACATTTCAGCAGGCGCCAGGCAATAAACAGTCCCGACACGATAAAAAAGGCATGCATAGGAGCGGCAATAAGTATCATTCCCTCCTGTGTTATAGGTTGCATTTAGTTAAATTCTAGTAATTCTGCTCAGTTTTGGGATAACCGTGACCATTTAGGTGTTTCACTAGGCATTTTTAAGTTTTACGGTTAATTAGGTAGAAAATATGTGGTTATCGTGGTCAAAACAGGCTGCACTATTGCGTCAGACCAGGTTGAGGTTGATTAATTATACGCACCGTCATTTACTAATTATAGGAACGTAAAGACTGCAGAAGGAAAGAGAGATCTATGTTTTGGAGGGCCTTCTCATCATAAAAAAACCTGCGTGCATGCGCCAAACACCTTATTCGCCAGCTACCCGCTAATCAAAAGGGTCAGACATAAACTAACCCGCCGACATTAAGCGTACTTATTATACTACTTGTGCTAAGCCAGTAGGCATGTTTTATTACTATTTTGACAGCCAACAACTGCTCTGTTTTCGCCTGCAAGCATGCAACTGACGTATTTTTTTTTCAATTTTTCTTTTGAAACCATATATTTCCTGGTATCCTGTTAAGAATAGAGTTCTCGAAGGCGTTCGGCTATCTTTACCTCAATATACTATCACTAATATCTGGACATCCAAAATAAAGTAGCCGTTTTACAGATTTCCGATGGACGCGGCTCTGTTGAGAGCAAGCAGTTTCTTACAATCGTTAAATTCACGTCCGTCCCTGCGCCCGATAACATTAACGTCTACTTAATTTCTACTATTACTACTCGTGAGTGTTGGAAAAGAACACGCATTTAGCTCACCGCCGTCAATTTGCCTAATGCTTATTGGCTGCTCGCCAAGGGGGCGGGTAGCATATTGTAACGTAAAGAGCATTTCTCTCTGATATGCCACAGACGTCCGTTTAGCGGACACAATTTAAAACAACAACGTCCTTTGTCTATGACACACTCCGTGAGCTGTGTCACCTACTGTACGAGGTGACGTTAACGAGATCAGTTGTCACCATGAGGGCATAATTCCATGCTTACCGCATCCAGTGCAGTTTCCTCTAAGCCATCTGGTTCGGTCGTGAAAAATCTTCTCCTAGCTCTCCGCTTTCGCCGCTCCTTTTCGCGTTTGACACCGGAAAGCGCTATCTGGTGATCCCACCAGGCATCTGAGGCGAGACGCCAGAGGATGTCCGGGAGAAGGGCTAGGACGACGGCTAGGGGAATGGATAACCAGAAGGCCGGACTGGTGTCCAGGTAGAAGAAATTCAGGTAAAGGACGGAGAGGGGTCCACTGGTGTACTGTCAGGGGGCAAAAATACACGCAGATTTAGGTGATGGATGAAAAGGCATTGAAGGTAACAGCGGAGGACATGCTGGAGGCAAGTTGCAATTTGAAAAGAGGTCTGAGAACTCGCATTGGCATGACTGGGTGAAATGGACTTAAAAATTACTAGAAGAACATTTACATTAGCTGATGAACATTCACTGAACGCTAACGGAACTCACTTCTCCAGCTTCGCTTCTGCCTTAGGTTGAATTTCTCGGGCCCTGACAGCAACTGTGGCAGATAGTAGTATAGGCAGATAATATTACCGGAAAAGGCAAGAGAGACTGGAATGGCAACCTCTGGCTCATTAGCTGTCGTCAGCCAATCATACCTAGACTCATGTTGTGCACCATTCAAGGCTCGAACTCGCGGTAGTTAGATCACAGTCTATCGTTCTAACCAATGAGTCACGAGCTCGTTGACTTGCTAGTTTAGGTCGGGAGATACTTACACTAGTTGATGATCGTTCACGGACCGCTAGCAGAACTCAGTTGCATCAAAATAGCTGACCCGAACTACCTACAGCGCACGCAGAGAATATTCAACTTAGTGTGTATCTGTATTTCCAAACCAGTGGCGGTTTTTCTTTCCACCAAATAGCCTTCTGAAGTGGATAAATGGCCGAACATTCAGTCGGAATTTGCGTCGGAGCACTTGCGATTTACTCTTTCTCAAATTTTAAACTCGGCAGTCCAAGAGGCCGAT